TTTATTATTTATTAGAAACAATAAAACCATAATCTCTGAAATGGCGCAACTGCGCCAAAAACTAAATCAAACAACAGACAACAATGACGAACTTGAGGGATACTACTAATCAAAGTTCTGGACCGAATCTACAAAAAAAAGTAGTGAAATAACGTTAATAAACGTTCTTACATAAAAAAAATAAAAAAAAACCGCTTCCCCCCTTTAAAATACTCACCGGTCTCCATTTCCAAGTTCCAGGCCGGAATCTACAAAAAAAAGTAAAAGAACGTTAATAAACGTTCTTACATAAAAAAAAACAAAAAAATACTTTAGAGACACTTACCCGTCTCCATTTCCAAGTTCCAGGCCGGAATTTACAAAGAAAAAGAACGATGTATTTTAAAATTGCGCAACGCAATTCAGTTGTCCGGATAAAAAAAGATTATCAGATGATTTGTACTACTGTCCGATAATCTAATCCGGATCATTAATAACCGTCAAATTAACCGGCCGATAAAAAATAAAATGTCCTTTTTAAAAGATTTTATTAATGAAAAACCGATTTTTTTTTACTTTTAGTAATAAGAAGAAATCGGTTTCTTTATTAGTTAATTAAAAAAATTACATATATTTTAAAAAATTATTCTTTTTTTTGCGGGCAATCCACAAATCCGCAAATAATCCGCAATTCCGCAAATAATCCGCAATTCTGTAATTAATTGCGGAATTACGGATCATTTGCGGAATTGCGGAAAAATTGCGGATTTGCGGCTAATTACGGATTGCGGATTTGCGGATATTTGGACTTCTGAAATCCGCAAATCCGCAATATTGCGGATCCGCAATGTTCCGCAATTGCCCAATTACGGCACCATCCTTAATTGCAATTATTCTCAAAAATAAGATTCATAATCATGTCTTTTAGCATTTTATTTAGCTTTAAACTGTCCTTCAAATATTTTGTCCTGTTTGATCCTTTTCATTTGTAACCAGTTTCTATGACTCTAATCTTCATATGATCTGTTGTTATTCTGAAAATTCCATCTTTCTTTCTTCCTATTTTCTTATAAATAGAACCTGTTTTACCATTATTTTTCTGTTGCTCAAGGCAAAATTCATACCTTCACCCCTTATTAACTCAAACTTCATATCATGAAAAGCTGGATCAATTATTCTGTTTCATATATTACTTTGGTACTAACCTTTCAGTTTTGATTGATCTGAAATAAAATTATCCTCCGCTTCTCACAAAAAAAGTATTTCTCAATACACATAATTGATAAAGCTGAGATTATAGTGCAAATTTCTATTAAACTCTTCTTTGTCTGATACAAATAGCTGTAAGAGAAATTTTTTTCAATTATTTATATTATCAAAAGTATATTTTTTAATCAATTTAATAAGTGGAGCTTCAACTTTTGGTTTCTTCTAAAAATCTGTTAAGAAAATCTCTTTCCATTATTCCTTTAAAATATTGCTTTAACGTTTTTGTCAGTATTATTTATAATAAAAAAATGTAAACATGATTCTTTATGTAACTTTTTTGTATACTGATAAATTATTCTCTTAATTTTTCATCCAGATTTTAACTTTTACATTTGTTCAGAGTCTATTGCTAAACTGAATAAGATTCATCAAGTTCTGTAAAATCGAGCCTGTTACATGAGCCTTCAATTTCACTATCATCTGATTCTTCATCCATATCTGTAAAATTCTATAATAATCAAACTTATATTAAAATATATTTTTTGTAATCTACATTTAACATTCTTACAATTATTGTGATATTTTGTGATATATTTCAACGTTTTCTTCTTTTGGTCTTTCTCCATTAAACATTTTTTCTCATTGTTCTATAAAATGTATCATTTGTAGATGAACGATTATAAAAAGACATAAATGAGAACTTGAGCATGGATTCCAAATAACATGAACTTATATCATTCTTTTCATTTTTTTCATTCTCCTTCATATCTGGTATTCTTTCTTCACATCTAGATAAGTATGTTCCTTCTGCTGTCTGGCTAATATAGAGTAAGCGGAACTGTCTCTCATAAAATTTACTTGATTTCATTAAATGTAAAAAGGGTTTCTATATCATATGTATTTTGAACTTGGCACTATTGTGATAATTGTAAAAACTTTCTTTTAGGAAAAAATGCATTAATAGAATTAGAAATTGGCTGATATTTTCTTTTGCATTACCTGTAGTTGTTCAGTAATCACCTTTTTTCAAAAGGAATAAAAATTAAACTTGACATGCTTCAGATTTACCTTATTAAATAAGGTAGATAATTAGCAATTTGTTACTCCCAATACATTAATAAATTGAAAATAAGATGGAATGCAATGGTAGGAATCAAGAAGACTCATGATGCTCCAAGATAAATAACATATGTTAAGGAGTTTTCCATACTATCATTTGAGCCAGAAAGTTTCATGATGCTTGCTTCAAGATAAGTAACATATGTCAAGAAGTTCTCTTTTATTGAAATAACAAAATAAATTAATGAAATCACCTTCTTCTCAAAAATTTCCTCTAATGATGAGTTTAATAATTCCTTTCCTGCTTGTATAAATTGCCTTTTTCATATTCTATCAAGAGTATTCCATTGATCTTTGAAAGGTGATGAAGTGATAATAAGAGTATGGTTTAGTTATAAGAAATCACTATATAACCAAAAGTTGGAATCAGAATTGTTCAAATAATCTAAAAAAACTGTCAAAATAAGATATAATTAATACTTAAAAGCTCTTTTTCAGCATTTTTTTATTATTTTTACCTGTACAATTAGAGTATATATTTGATATCAGAAAAAAAGTTAACTGATCAGAAATTAGACATGACACAAAGTGCAGTATATGAGGACAAGAGTTAAAAGACAAAAAAAATATTGAGGTAGACTATATGTGAAAAATTATTCTGTTTCACAAGAAACTGATCAGCCATATTGCATCATAAATGCAATAATCGTCTAATCATTGCGCCTTCCTAACTGTGAAGATTCATCACCTGAATGCCAGACTAGTTCAGATAAAAATGTTAGATTTATAGTCCTGATATTGCATAGTAGTCAGAAGTAAATATACTCTCATATCATTACATATGACATTTTTTAAGATTTATGACAAGAATGTAATATACAATATGCTTTATTTAAGAAATAAAAAACATTGCCAGAAGCCAGCTTATAATACATAAAAATTGTGAAAATATCGCTACATAATACTGTGAATTATTAATGGAAATATACAGTGACATAAAAGAATTCTGCCTGAGGTTGTCAATCAAAAAATTTAGAAATCAGATATGCAGAATCTATTTTCATTTTTTGAATACTCCTAAAATGAACTTGATAAAGGCTTAAAGAGGCATCTTTTAACTCCAATTTGCCTCTAATTGCATCTACAAGATCACTGACCAGTTGATTTGTACTAATTGTAATCATTTAGTGTATCGCATTACATTGAACATTATTAAAATTTCCTACTAAAACAATAAGACAGTTAAGAGTAATATTGGCCATATTTGTATTTCCTAAATGCAAAAGCCTATTGTGAGAAATTTTTACTTGCAGTAAATAAACATAACTTCTGGTATATACATACCTTATTTTGTATTATTTTTTACAATAATATTTTTGCAAAAAGTTGCATATATTCCTACATGTTTTATATCTTGCTGGAAAAAGTTAAGGAGGTATAAGGCATAATTAGTATTGTTGTCTAATACCAAGAGCTTCATAAAAGCATATGCAATGGATTCTTCATACCTTTTTACATGTAGATCTACTCTGCAAGAGATATAGTTGGCTTTACACCTAGTAATCTTAAATTGTGAGTCTCTTAACCCTTCATAACATATGCTTTTGACGGTAATATTTACTTTTAGAGTAAGTTCTGTGTTGCATATAGAATTTCTTTAATATTTTTCTCATGATTGTTTGAGAAAAAAATAAAGAATAAAGGTTAATATATTTTTTTTGATATATATGCAAAAATTAATATATTGCACAAGACCTGACTGATAATCCACTTATTTTTCTATCACATAATCTGTGGACTGTGGCTCAGCAAATTCTTCTAAGTTAAAGATCAATTTTAATTGGCTCATTGATTGATCAGAGAAAAAAAAACATCCTATATTTTCTTAAAGGAATTAAAGTATTTTTATATTGTTTTAATAAAAATTACAAAATAAATCAATATTTTAAAAACAATAATATTGAAAATATGGATTTGTTTAATAATATAAAATCTTAAAATCAAAAAAACCAGATATTTTTTAAATATTATTATATTTAATTAAAAACATTTTCAAGTGATTTGTATATAATTGTACCACTATTGTACCATTTTTAACATTATTCTAACTTTAAAAAAGTACTATTAACTTAACTATTAATTGAGTTTTTAATACCTGAAGTTAAAGGTAAAATTTAAGATTTGCGGTGGTTTTAATATCAGGGTTATAACTCATCGTAAAAGGTTTTGTTAATATTATAAATTCATATTAATTCACATTTTTTCATTTGCGGCAATTTTATCTTATCAAAAATAAATAGATAAATAAATAAATAAATTTTTTTATTTCACTCTTATACGAGAATCCGCTTTTTTTTTACTATTAAGTCGAAAATGGATATTTTTCAACTACATTTTAATTCAATGTCCTTTTGATGTTCATAAATACAACCTAATTTATTTGAAATTTATTATAAAAAAACAATAATACATAAAGAAAACGTGAATGAGAATTTTGTTTTTGTTATATTCGTTTATACCTTAAAAAATCAGGGATCGTTATTATTGTTATTATAGGGCCAATAGTTTGCTGTGTAGCAACGATTAAATCTTTGATCTGTTGTATTTATAATGCTGACTAAACAAAATTATTCATATTATAAATTATAATTTTAAAATCCATATAAAATGACTCGGGTTTTCATTATTCATATTTTTGTTTTTTATCTCTTTTTTTTCTTCAATTTTTCTTTAATTTCACTACTTTTTTAAAAATGTTTACTGGTATTGTAGAACATTTGGGTACTGTTGTTGAAATTCAACAATTAGATAACTCAAGTTCTGGTGGTGGTGGCTGGTCGATGAAGGTTGGTGATGCTAAAAATATACTCGTTGATTGTCGTCTCGGTGACAGTATTTCTGTGAATGGTATATTTTATCAAATAATTTCACTTAATTTAATTGATTTATTTAATTAAATCAAATATCTTTTTATATAGGAACTTGTTTGACTGTAACAGAGCTCGAAACATCGTGGTTTAAAGTTGGTCTTGCACCCGAAACACTAAGAAGAACAAATCTTGGTTGGTATATGCAATATACATATTCTAATTTGTTCTAATTTGTAAATTCGATCTTTCGATTTAAATCTTTTTTTTTACCGATCTGATTAGATAAATATTCCTAATTTTTATTTATTTCTTTTTTTATTACTTAGGTGATTTAAAAGTTGGTAACAAAGTCAATTTGGAAAGAGCAATTGCAGCAAGTGTAAGATTTGGTGGACATTTCGTACAAGGGCATGTTGATACGATTGCAACAATCATATCCATGACCCCTGAAGGAAATTCTCTTTGGGTTAGGCTATCGCCGAATGATCCATTTTACCTTCGTTATATTATTCCGAAGGGATATATTTGTCTTGATGGAACATCTTTAACTATATGCGAGGTTAATGACAATGAAAGTTGGTTCAGTATCATGTTAGTGGCTTACACGCAAGCTCACGTGATTATGCCAACACAAAAAGTTGGTGACAAAGTAAATGTAGAAGTAGATATGCTTGGCAAATATGTTGAGAGAATTGTCGAGCCAATGCTTTTCGGTGATGTACAAAAAGCTGGTGGAGGTTATGTTGAGAAACTTGTCAAAAATTATTTAGAGAAAAAATCAAATGCATAATTTATTCAAAAGAAATTCATTTAAACATCATTCCATCATTATAAAAAAGTCTACTTAGTCTATGTTATATTCGTAATAGATAATTAGTCTAAAATACGAATTACTAGAACATTAATGAATTATTAATTTTTATTAATTAATTAATAAAATTTTTTGAATATAGCCGCCATATTTGACGTCTATAACATATTTTAAAAATTGTTAAATACATTACATACTTTCCTGATGAATTTTTAATATATTTTACACAACACGTTTGACTTCAAAGAATCTCTTTAAGTAAAACACTTGCCAAAAGCATACAGCGAAAAGAACAAAAAATTGAAAAATTGACCACCATTTTACACGATCATTTGTACTTTCAGCAGCTAGAAAAATAAATAAAATATATTAAAAAATTGTTAAAAATGAAATTTTAATCAAATATAGACAAATATAAAAAGTATTTACTATCTCTATGTCTTTGTTCACGGATTACAATATATTCTTGCTCGTCTTTGATAGCAGCGAGATTATCAGCCAACTCTCTGATTTCATTTTCTAATGGATCAGCAGCTATAAAATTGTTATTAAATTTAGTGGTTTAATTATTAAATTATCTTAATGTAAAATTCATTTGACATACATCCACTATCCGGAACATGAACAACTCCATGAACATTAAAGCTAACAATTTTTTCAGTCACGGTTGACATCTCATTACTGAAACAATAAGTATATCGGCCATTTTTCGTGGCTGTAAAACTATATGTTCCTGTAGTTTCTTTTTTAGCGACTTGTACAACAACGTCGGAAGGATCTGATATCTTTTAAAAATAAAGAAATATCAATATCGAGTATATGAAGCTTGATTTGCAGAGCGAATGAACAAAGAAAACATTCTTTCTAAATTTTATCCAATCGAGATTATTTCCCCCAATAAATAAGTTTTCTAACGAGAAACTATGTTTATCATTAATTTTCTATTTCATAAAATATTTTATCTGATGTTAAGCAAAAAAAAATTATATTCACCAAGAAATCGATGTCTAATTGTCCACCATCACCAACTTGAAAAGTTATCGTCATTTTATCATCAACTTGCAGTTCTTCAAAAAAGCATTCTTTTACACGAGCCGGAATTGTAATTGTATGCGCTGCCACAAGGCATATTGCTGACAAGAAAGTAAAAATTACTAGAAGGAATCGCATATTTGAAGTTTGAAGTGAAAAACTCGATATTAACACCAGATTTTCAACCGTTGATATTTTGCCAACACTTTGTGTAATCTCCAAATTTGTCCAGTAATTTAAATGAGATATTTTAAACATGTGATCACAGTCTTATGTGATACAATCAAAAATTTTTAAAAAGCTACTGAATGTTGTAGATTAAACCTCCTCTTTTCTTAATAAAAAAAAACAATAGTTCCCCTTTCAAATAATAGTGTCTGCCAATATGAGCACTTTTGAGAAGGTATTAAAATTATATTAACGGGATACAGCTTATCAATTAGTTGTTTTGCTATGTTGGCTTGTTTTGTAATTTGTATTTTTTTGTTCGATCGTTTAATTTTGATATTTATATTTATTAGGTGGTTGTTGTTGACGGTAAAGGTCACTTAATCGGACGGTTGGCATCCATTGTAGCAAAACAGATATTAACTGGACAAAAAGTTGTTATTGTTCGTGCTGAGGAATTAAATGTATCAGGATCTTTTTTCCGAAATAAGAGTATGTTTGATTTACCGTAGATATTTTCCAGAAATTTGATTAATGCACAAAAATTTATTTTATTTTTTATTGAATCGCGTTTGAATATTTTTCTAATTTATTTATTAATTAACGAAAATCAATTAGTCAAGTATCATGATTACCTTCGTAAACGTATGATTGTCAACCCTGCACGTGGTCCTTTCCACTTTCGTGCACCTTCCAAGCTCTTTTACAAAACTATACGTGGCATGATTCCACATAAGACTGCGCGTGGTGCAGAAGCCTTGAAACGTCTCAAGATTTTTGAAGGAATACCACCTCCATATGATAAGAAAAAGCGTATGGTTGTTCCTGACGCTTTGAGAGTTTTGCGATTGAAACCTGGTCGTAAATATACTACAATCTCACGTCTTTCTAATGAAGTTGGCTGGAAATATGGAGAAGTTGTTAAGAAACTTGAAGAAAAACGTAAAGTTAAAAGTAAAGAATTTTATGAGCGTAAAAAGAAATTGGAAAAAATTAAGAATCAGGCTTTCAAGAATAAGGCAGGAGATTTATCAACTATTAAACAAGGGATTTCTGCTTTTGGTTATTGAATTTATAAATAAACAGCTGAGAACTGAGAGAAAAAGATATCTAATATATATTAAATTTTTAAATTTGTAAAAAAAACCTCAATTTTTTTAAAAAATTATGCTCTTATGATCTTTATGATCTTTGCATGTAAACCTTTATATTACGAAAAATTTATTGATCTAATATTTTGAATCTCTTTATCCTGTGACCGGTTAAAATTTCACATGATATTAGAGATCATTTAAGAGATATTAGATAGATAAAAAAAAATACTGCGATCTAAATACCGTTGTATTCAAAGTTTTGCGAATTTTTTTTTTTACCTTCTAAAGTTCCAAACACTGTGAATTCTTTATATTGCTATAAAATATACGTGTTCTTGAGTCTAAGTTATAATAAGTTTGAAACAATTTTTCCTTCTAACTCCCGAATAATTCCAAACGAATTTCTGAGTTTCATAATTTCAATTTCATTCGAACTTTATAAAGTTTAAGACACGAAACGATAAGAAATGTAAGTGCTTAGTTTCTTCAGTTAAAAGTTTTGTGGACTGAAGTCAGTTCTTTGCTTCGAATTCCGAAGAAAGCTAAGTGAATATTTTATTCTAGCGCAAACGATTTATTTATTGGTTTGTATTAATTAAATAGTGAATCAATTTTAGATTTTGTAATATTAAAAATAAAAGTAATCAATTTATTTTTTATTTCTATAAACATTTTAAATTTTTATTAAAATTTGATCAAGAAACTAATTTATCCTTCTTATGTATAATATCGTAGTCTAAATTTTAAAAGAAGAGATGGGTAAGTTTATTTTCGTTGTGGTCACGTGACCGAGATGTTATCGTTGCACGAGAAATTGGAATTTAGAAGATTGCATATTACCAATTGAATTTTTTTTCCAATAAAAAAACCTCTTCAATTATTTTTGCATAATGATTACATAGAAAGTGAGGAAGTATGGGATACTAAAGTTCAACAATTCCACGGCGGTCAAGATTGGAAGTATTTGGAAAACTTTGTTGAAGACTTTTCGGTTACTACCAATGCTTTGGGAACGCCCAAAGACGCATTAGAAGCAGCTAAAGAGGCTGTGAGTTTTAATCAGTTTATCTGCTATCTGATATCACGGGTTATGAGAAAATTATTAAATCACGTGAATTCTTGTAGATATATACTTGTCATCATTATCCACCAGGCAATCAAGAACCTGCCAAGACTTCTCTGGCCAAATTTCTCTGGTCTGATGATTATTCATCACATAAAGACAGATTACTCCTTGGTAATGGTGCAAGTGAATTGATTGATTTAGTCACAAGGTCAGCTCCCTTTGGTACGTGGAAACCTGGCCCTTGGGACACTCAAGTAAGCGATTCATTTAATAATTCATTTTTTTATTGAGATTCTTATCGAAAGATGACAAATATTCAAATTTAAACGTGTATTTAGTACAAGGAGTATCATAGATCGGCAGAAACCAATGGAAGAACCATTCTTCAACCTCAGGATACTACACCTGCCAATCTTTTATGTATCGTTAATCCTTGCAACCCAACTGGAGATTATAAAAATATTAATGATTTAAAATATTGGATTGATAAAAATGTTGAGGATGGTGGATTTGTAATTGTTGGTAAGTATAAAATAATAAAAAATATTTTTTTCTTATTAAATTAACAATCAAAACTTCATTTGAATTTTAACCAAATTTTAAAAAGATGAATCGATGCAACCTTGGCTATCTAGCGATTTCAGGACCGATTCTCTTTTATCTCAACATGAATTCCTTTATTTACTCTATGAAACCAGGCGGGTTTCAGTTTATGTTATACATTCTTGGACGAAAATCTGGTCATGTACTGGATTACGTTTAGGTTCTGTTATATGTCCGACATCAGCACATTGTGATGTTTTAAAAAAGTTACAAGTACCTTGGAGTGTTAATTCGCCTGCACTTGCATTTTTGAATGCAGTCGTTAAGGATACTGAATATATGGAAAAAACTTGGGAGCTTACACCAAAATGGCGTAGTGAACTCATTGAAAGATTGAGAGTTTTATCAGAAGCTATTATAAAAGCAAAAGACGATGAAGGGTATGAATGGGAATTTCATGGAAAAAGCTTTTTATCTTATATTTGGATTAATATGAAATCTAAAGAAATCGTTGAAGAAGCAATTGGTAAAGCTAAAGCTGCAGGTGTGCCAGTTCGAAGTGGTGTTCCCGGTTATGATCGTCCTACTTATCTTCGTGTAGCAGTTCGTGAACCTTCTAAAGTAGATATCTTGATAAAAGCTTGGAGTAAATTAGGGAGACGCTAAATTATATTTATTTATTTATCTATATATTTATTTATTTATTTTGTTTGTTTGTTTACTTATTTGTGTTTTATTACAGTATCTACGAGAATGTGTATTATAGTAATATTATTATTATAATATATTTATAATAAATTATTAAACCTAACATTCAATATTTAGTAATTTGTCTGGTGTATATTTTTAATTACTTACATTTTTCTTATAAAGAATTTATTATTACCGAAAACTACAAGGAATTAGAGAGGAACTAAAAAGTTCCGTTGTAAAATTGAATCTTATCAAGAAAATTAAAAAAAAAATCATTATGTTGAATTATAGGTAATGCCATGTCACCCATGTGTAGAACCGGAAAATGGTAATGATACATTGATAAGTTTGATACTGATTTTTTTTTTGCATCGAGCATCTAATATTGCAGATTAAGGGTTGTGATGTTATACTGATGAGATACTTTGTGGAAAAGTTACAATATGTATGTAATAGATCTTTATTTAAATAGAACTAAATCTGCAATTTATGGACAAAAGATCTTGTCTATGAAATATTATATGTCAAATTTTATGGTTAACATTAGCAAAAATTATTAATACAATAATACACATTAAAATAATGAAAGTAAGTAACAAAATGCAGGTGTATAATTTTTCTTTTTTTATTAATGAACCAGTCATTATTATTATAAAATTGTAAAAACAACAAAGAAAAAAAAAACAATGACACGAAATCTTTCTCTCTCTTTTTCATCTAATCAATATTTCCTTAACTATTCTAATTGTTATATCTAAATTAATCAATCATTCCAACTACCAAAATCTTTTTTACACAAAGTACATTGTTCTTTAAAATATTTTATATATTCTAAATAACATTTCATGTGTAATAAATGACCACAACCAGGATTTATAATCATTCTACCACCTCTTAATTCCAAAGATTCTAAACATAAATAACATTCATCAACTTTTTGTTTTTCTTGTTTTACTTCTTCTTGTTCATATTCAAATTCATAATTAGATCTAGTTTCTGAAAAAGAAGAATAATCATCTTCACTTTCATCATTATCATCATTTAAATTAGATGATAATTTTGATAAAAAACAAAATGCCTCACGTGAAGAATGATTTTGTATGAGATATCTACGATGATTAAATGGATCATGAAAATTACTTTCTATAATATCATTAGATGAATTATTATTATTAGAATACTGATCTATTGAATGATAAGATGAATTTGATAAACGTCTTCTTGTTGAAGAACGTGGTAAATGAGTTGAATCATGAAATAATGGAATTATGTTAAAATAATCACGAATTGCATTTATATTTGAAGAAACAGGTGGAGGAGGTCTAGGAGGTCGTGGAGGTGGAGTTGGAGTTGAAGTTGAAGTTCGAGTAGAACGTAATTGATGTGAAGAATGTGAAGAATGTAAAGAAGATCGAGAAGATCGAGAAGTATTTAAAGGTTGAATATTACGTGTAGATTCAGATGAATAATCTTGTTGAATAAAATTATGATTAACATGATTTACTGATGATGATGATGATGATGATGATGATGGATTTGACCAAGGATTATGAAATGGAAAAGGATCTGATTCTGATGAAGTAACATTTGATGAAGATGAAGAAAATGCAGTGGATGATCTTGCGGGTGTATTTGTTGTCACTTGTGATCTCGTTGATTGTGTTCTTGATAATAAAGATCTTGAATTAGAAGAATTATTTGAACCTGATGAATTTCTATTAACTAATCTTCTAACAAGTCTTGTAATTTGATTTGATGAAGATGAATTTTGTCTTGATGAAGTAATTGTATCTGATCGATGTAAAACATTGTTTGTATTATTATTTGATGATATATACCGATGATTAGGATGATGATGATGAGGAAGTTCTGTTACTTGTCTTGGATAAGAAATATATCGAATATTAACATTATTATTTCTTTGTGAATTAAGCATATTTCTTAAAATGATGATAGATCTATTTTTGATAAAAAAAAAAGGTTAAGGAAAAGAGAAAAAAAAAAGAAAAAAAAAGGAAAAGGAAAAAAAAAAGATATAATTTCAGAATAATAACGATGTTGTTAGATTTTTAAAAGAAAAAAAAAAAAAATTTTTTTTTTTTTTGATGAAAATATTCCTTATATACTTATTAAACAACAAAAAAAACAAACACCCCTTGAATATTACACAAAAAAAAAAAGGGATTGAAAATCTTTTCCCATCTAAAAAATTAATTGTTTAACTTAACCCAAATGGATTCACAATTACCTATAAATCGTAATTTTACCATTGTTAACATTTCCTTATGTCGTTCTATTGAACGAAGCGGAGTTTCCACTTTAACTGATTACACCATTAAATTTTGAAACATAACCATTTTTCTTTCTTCATTGGAATTCTTTTCTTGTAGAAACGAAAAAAAAAAATACCGGTCAAATTCCGAATTAAAAATAATACAAATATTACAAATATTACAAACGGATTATTAAGTGGTTTTCTTAGGAGAAAAGTTAGATCAGTTGAAACAGGTTTCAGATAATTATACTTCTGCGTCTTCAGCCTCGTCTTTCTTTTTTAAAAAAGGAAACAAGAATTAATTGTTATATTTGGTATCACAATAGTAAATTTTACATAATATATTATAAAAATTATATATACAGAGGGAATATACAACTTTAACAACTGGGAACGGAAGAAAAAGAGAGAGTTAATTTACACTATCCGGACTTTATTTTTTTATTTGGTTAACGAACTTACGGGACTTACATATTACTTTATGAATTCATGGGTAATTAAGGTAATTGCACAGTAATCTGATATCATTTCTCACGCCAATCTTTTTATCAATATTTCAATTATGGTAATTTTTGATTAAATTGTAACAAATCATAAATAAATATTTCATTAAACAGGATACAAATTACCAATTTTAGACTTACGATTGACCATAATTTTGTTTGTGTAACCGATTGTGTTATCACGAGAAATGATTTTATAAATAGATTTTCTCATTCTTTCCATATAAGCCTGTTAATCACTTGTTTAATCACTTTTGTTAATCACTTATTTATTAGTTATATAGGATGGGAAATTATTCTCTTATAAAGTAAGTAAATCATGAGATAAGGAGACGATCAATCATCTAACATAAGAGAAATGGTAAAAATCACGTGTAAAAGAAATATATGCCAAGAAATTCCTTTGAGAAAAGATTGTTTCTTTATTATAAAAGTCCAACTGAAAGAAATACTGTACAACGATTTTCTTGTCATATAAATAGATTTCATTGTGTATTGTTTTGATTACAAAAAATATAAATAAATAAGGTAATGATATAAATAATACGCGGACTTTTATCCGTTTCTTTAAATACTATGAGTTTTCCTCAAAAAAAAAAAATAAAAAAAAAGTCATTTTTTTGAGGTCTTATCAACTTTTGAGATAAAAATTATCTTTTTTTAGTAAAATCTTTCAAAGATGATGAAAAAAATACGACATAAAATCCGTTTTATAATTTATACATTAATAATATCATTCTTATTATCATTATTATTTCAATCAAAATATACAAATTCATTTGAACTTAATTCGACAGATTCATTCGTTAATCTATTTATGAGTCCTATAAGACCTCAACCTCCTCCTTTATTACCATCATCACCATCATTCTCACTTTCAACTTCTCTTCCATTAATATCGAGTAATTATAATTTTAGTTTTATGTTATTTATATTATTAATCATTACATTCACTTCAATTTGTTTAACACTTATAATACGTAAATTTATTTATAAAAACAAAAGAATTTTAAATATTTTTAAACAAGAAAAATTAAAAGATGTTGAATTTGGTAGTTATTCTTTTGAAGAATGGGAATTTGAACGTCAACAAATTCTTAATGAAAAGAGAAAAAAGCGAATATCATATATGATACATAGTCAATTACCAACTATTTATGAAGAACATGACGTATTAGTCGTATAGTCGTATGGTTCATATGATTCATATGGTTCGTATATCGTGCGTTCTTAATATAGTAAACAATCTTTATAATATGGAATATTGGAATAATAATAATTGAATAATACTGAATAATATTGAATTAGTATTAAATAATATTTAAATAATATGATAAATTTTTTAATTTTTTTGATCAAATGCATAATTTATGTAAAAAGTATTTTGTGCGATGTCAAACACATGTAAATAGTATATAAACCTTAATAATAAATGTTTATCATATTGTATTAGAATGTTCATCACGTGTATATCATAGTACATGTGTATGTGCAAACAAGTTCTCGTAGATGTAAATATAACAAAGTACTCTTTAAAAATTCCTTTCTTGATCCCAAATTTCTATATAATTACGTGCTCCAATATATATCTTACACAACTCTTATATTTTTTAATAATTTACTTCTAATATATATATATTCATTTTAAGTACATTGAACTTTTTTCTTAATTGACTTGTTGAATTATTACTTAATACTTAAATAATTCATTTAATACTAATCTTTTCAAATTTTCACATCCCTTAAATAAATTTACAAATTACAATCATCAATCCTTTAATTTTGATTATTTCTATAATTTTTGCTATAACATTAAAAGGTGAAATAAATAATTCTTGTAAATTTAGTAATAAAATATTTTTAAAATATCTTTAAATTCATTAATTAATCTTTTTTTTATTAAATAATATAAAATACAAAATTTAAATTATTTTGAAATATTTTTAATAATAATAGTAAAATTGTAATACATATAATTTTTTTAAGATTTAATTCAATTACATCAGTAATGTTTTCAGAATCAGAATCCTTAAAGGTTCTTTATAAATGAAAAAAAAATTTAAAAATCTTTAAATTGGTTATAAAATTCTTTAAAAATCTTTAAAAATTTATGAATTATTGAAAATTTCATAAAATTTTTGGATTCTTAAAGGTAGAATAATTCTTTAAAGATTCTTATAAATTTAATTAAGAAGAATCTTTGAAAATCCTAATTTTCAAAACATTACTGAATACTGATATATATTTAATAATTTATTGCAAATATTTTCCAAATTTTTATATTTTTTTTATATAAAACATCTAAAAATATTATTTTGCTAAATTTTTATCCTTTTAAATTATTTTATTTTTCAATAAATAATAAAATATTTTAAAATTAAAGGATTTCTTTTAATTGTAAAAGTAATGTAAAAAAATTTGAAAATATATTATAGATTAAGATGTATAAAATAAAACCCATTTCAAAATAATAATTAATTTAATATTCTTTCTATGGTGTACATAATCTAAAGCCAGGTAACTTAAAGGAAAACTAAAAATAAATAGAAAAAAAATTTAAAAAAATTTAAGCCTATTATTTGATAAAATATTACTATGTGATTATAATAACAGAAAGTTTTTTTCAATTAGATAATTTGATCATAAAATCTATTATTTTTAAGATCATTTAATTTTATATATATTCTATATTAAGTTGAAAAATTTGGAAGTTTAATGATAATTCTGACCAGATTTTTCAATAAGTGAAATCATATCATATACTAATCCTTTTCAATTCTGATTAGTTGCATTTTTTGGTCAGTTTATATTGTACAAAATTTAGCCAATAAATTTTTTTTTATTTTTGGTTGCAAATTAAATAATTTGGGTTGAGATAGTATTAAAATTTAGGTCAAACTGTTAAATTATTATAAACTTATTTTTCAAAAAATGTCCTGTAAATGTAAAGACTTAAAGCAAATAATAGAAAAAACCTTATTGAAAACAGTTGAACAAAGAAAATTTTACAATTTCAGATGAAGAATAGAAAGAAATTTCTGAGATTTTTATGCTTAGATTAGTAATTTTAAATGAAATTTATTATTTAGAATTATATATATATAATATAACTAAATTTTAATATTGGTATCATAATATTTTACCTTTTTATGATGATATTAGGTTTAAAAAAATTTTCAGAAAATTTTAAAAAATTGGTTAATTTATTTAGTTCTCATTTAATTTTTCAAACAAATAATAAAAAAAACAAGTATCTGTAGAATTTCAATTAGCCATTTTTTTTAAGAAAATTGGAATTAAAAAAAAATGTTTTTTCTATATGTTTACATTATAAAATAACTAAGAGAACTGTTTTATTATATTGTAAAAGAACAATGAAAGTTATTATTTCATATAAATCCAATTATATTAAATGGTTAACTAATGAATAAAATAGAAAATTTATTTATGATGGATTTGAAAGTATCAGAGGTATTGAAGGTATAATTGAAACCATAGATGAAATACATTTTATTTTGCAAAATGCTTTAGAAAAAGAAAAATATTTTTATTTTACAAGAGAAAAAAATACACTTTACATTACTAAGAAATAGTTGATTATCATGATATTTTTATAAGTTATGATATAGGATGGCTGGGTAGTATAAAAGTTTATTGCAATTCTCACTTTTATTTTAATAGAATATCATTAATTAAAGGTAATAATTTCATAATTGAAGATAGCACTTATTCTTTATCACTATTTCTTATTAAATCTTTTAGTAAACCAAATGAAAATCAAATAGAATTAATTGTATTTTTTCATTACATAGAATAGTTATTATACATTCATTTAGTAAAATGAAAAATAAGTTTAGTGGAATTAAAGAAATATCTGTTAAAAAAATTTCAACTACTGTAAATATGATAGATTATTCTATTATTTTACATAATTTTTTAGAATTACATGTAATGATATATAGGTGGATAGTGATAATAGTAAAGAAAATAATAATAAATCTGATAATTATTATAATAATAATGAAGAAATTAAAAAGAGCAAAAGAAGCAAAAAGAAATTGGATAATAAGCAAATTATTTACAATCTTATAATTACTATAGTTTTATAAATAAAATAAAATAAAATTGAATGATAATAGTAAATTTATGATTTTTATTAAACTTCTAATTATACTTTTATTATATATTTGTTATGATACTAATTATTGTACTGTGACAACTGTAATTCTATTTTTTTATTGTTAATTCATGTAATATATGTGACTGTTCTCTTTCAAATTTTCATTTTTTCTTTTCATTTTAAATTTTTCTACTTACAATTAAAATTTCTTATTTATTTTTTTATTTTTTTCATGATTTAATTGAAGTTTTTATTCAAATATTCTAAGTTTTGTTTGACTGATATTATTCATAATATTAACTGAAAATTTAATAGAATTTTTTTTCTTTTTTATAAGTCTTTAACTTAATTTTCTTTTCTAATTTATCATCATTACTAATATATACTGTAGAATTATTGGAAATAAAAGAAGAATTAATATTTTCATGACATCTATAAATTCTGCCCATTTTATTATACTACTTTCAATCAATTTTTTTAGAATCTATCTTATCATTTTATCTTTTCACTTTTTTATATGTCTCCAATAAGTATTTAATTTTTCCTTTAATACTTTCACTCAATTTTATTTTAATAACTTCAGTAGAAATTAAATTATATATAGTTGCTTTTTTATCTTGCTAAAGTTTTTTGTAATTGTCTTCTAAATCTAACAGTAAAATATCAGTTTTTTCTTTGCTTTATCTTTCTGCAACTTGAAATTTGATATTTTTTTTTTCTATCATATATGTTATCATTTTCTTTAATATTTTAAAACAATTACTTAAGTATCACTAGTCTTATAAATACTATAATCAATGCTAATAAAAGATTTTATACTAACTGTTGAATTTTTTTAATTAAAACTTTGAGTATCTACATTCAGAATATTAATAAATATAGTTTCACTACTTTCTTGTAAAAAATATTCAAGTTTTTTATTAATTTCATTACTTTCATTTTCTAGATATTGAAAGCTTGGTGTTAAAGTATAATCTATTTTAAAGTCTGAGAATATTTGATTTTGTGAAGAAGTAGATACTGGATTTGTAACTAAAGATGCTAAGGGTTTTAGAGCTAAAATTTTTATTTTAAAGTTTTTAGTTTTGTGACTTTTGTCACTTTATTTATTCTTGTATTTTGCTTAGCTATTTTAAAATTTTGAACTTATGGAAAAGATATATTCAAAAAAATATATAAAGAAAATACATAAAAAAAGTTAAGCATATTTCTTAATTTCTTTTTTTTTTATTTATGTTTGACCTAAAATCTAAAAAAAATTAGGTTTAAAAGGTCAGAATTTGGTTGTATAGTACAAATAGGTCAGCCTTATCAAATTAACATCTGATCAAAAAATACACCTAACTAGAATTAAAAAGGGTTACTGTATCTTAAAATCCTTTTTTGCTTAATTTTTAAATATATAATTTAATTCGTGATCCGCCAGTGAACCATAAAACTTGGCTATTAAATTTCGGTGAAAAGTTATATATATATTTACTAATAGCGCGGAATCTACAGTTCCGGCAATGCAAGGTACAAATTACTAAAATATAATATGAAAACTAATATTATAGCTATAAAAATATGCCATTTTGCTGTCTTAATAATAAAAGACCGGTAAAAATTTCATGCACCAAAAGACACTTTCATAAGAGCTGAAAATTTGAATTTGAAAAAAAAAAATTTAGTATTTTAAAAATTTTAAAGATAACTCATCATCTAGTGGTCGTAGGAAAATAAAATTTGGTTCATAGGATTCGTCTCATAGAAACGCATCTAATGGTAATAATTTTATATCTCTATGACCAATAGAAGGAGAGTTATCCCATATTTTTTCTCCGGAATCGCAGATTCTAAATTATTGATAAAAATATATATGAACTTATCACCACCTTTTAATAGTCAAATTTTATGGTTCACTGGCAAATCACGAATTAAACATACTCAAGAAATAAAAAAACAGAAGCACTACTTATTAACTGAAAAAGATATTTTTATAATAATGAAATAATAAAGAATGATCAGTTAACAGATAATAAACTAAAGGATATTATAAAAAGTTTAATTAACTCTTCCAAATAGCTTTTGAAGTAATATTAAAAGCTGCTAAAAATCCTAGTATTTTTTAAACAACTCAGCCTATTTCTTATACTGAAATTTCTTTGAAAACATGATGCTAAAAAAGAGTAGGAAAATAATCATTAAAATTATATAATTTATTATTACCTGACTTTCAAAAATTTGAGAGAAAAAATATTTAAATAAATATAATATTTAAATATATAAAAATTTCAGAAATTTTCAATAAAATTGAAAATATTCAGTATTATACAAAAGAAAAAGTATTTTAAATATACAATATTTAAATTACCTTTGAAATTTTCAAGAAAAAATATTAAACTAAAATTTATTTTAAATTATTTTAAAATTTTTTATTTTATTAAATATTTATAATAATTTTATTTTTGATGTTTAATATTACAATTATATAT